TGGTTATGTGGTTATAAGAGGGGGACATAAATGTTCATGATCTGTTATTTTTACCTACTATGTTCACGCAAGTTAGTTTCCTCCCCTGAAACTGTTTTTAAGGTGATGTTCAGAGCCCTTCCATCCTGGGCCGTACGCGGGATCTCTTTGCCTACTGACAGACGTTCTCTTGTTTTTGCCTTGTTATTCTTTCTTTCTCTTTATTTATCTTCAGCCACCTGTCTTTTTGTCTCGTTTCAGCTGTGAGGTCAGCAAGAAACCCTTCACTCATTATCCTGCCTGTCAGACTTCAGCTTATGCTCCCAAAAGCCGCCAATAATCCACGTAGAGTCCCTGTCCTTCTTTTCTAAATGCCACACACACACACACACTTTAGTACAAGTCATTTCTCTGTCACCCCAGAGGACCCCTTATATAAAGCTCTGTCTCCCCTCTAGTTGTTACTCTCCTTGTTTTCATCAGTGAACATCCTTCTATCCATCCTTTTGCTGTTCAGGTATGTTGTTTGGACTTTTTTCTTCACGCTGTTCTTTTCCTAAACCAATGTCGAAGTGGCAGTTTTCTGTCTTTCTGAGATATTTGCAATCAATCATAAACTTAAAACCATCAAAATAGTTTAGGCTTTATGGACTTTAAATTACATTATTATTGCTCCAAGGCTACAAAATAGTTTGCTCAAATTAGCTTGTTTAACAATAATTTTCATGATGGAACATTCATCAACATGCCCGTGTCTAATATCGCAAGACTGTGTAAGTTGATGACCCCAGCGGATACAGTTTGGCCCTCCAGCACTACAGACCTTTTTTGTGTCTTTCAGCTCATTGTTTTGATTTTCTGGCTCACAACATAATGTGAAATATGTACATCCAAGATGCTATAATGGCTGCTCAAGCAGAAATATCTAGATGGTTTGTACTAAACATTTTAGGCCTGCAGTATCAGGTATCTTTGGGAACTCTGGGATTGACATTAAATTATAATAAAATTCAGTGGACAAAACAGCACAATTGAACAGCTGGACCCACCACTGGGTTGGTGTGTGCTGATAAAGGTGTATTATATCTCTCACGCTCACTCATGACAAGTTATTCTCGGTGCCCTTGGCCTCTCTGTCTGCCTGTGACTCTGTTGGTCAGTTTGGCCAGAAACACTCAACAGTGATACGATGTGATGAATTCCTCTCCCAATCCCTCATCTGCCTTTTGTCCCTGTGCCCGTGTTTATTCAGATTCACATGCTCATGCTCTGAGATCTTGGCTAAAAACTAACTATGACAGGATCTAAGAGGCCTCAGTGCTTAATCTACCATGGTAATACACTAAAAGACAGGCAGTCTGGGGGCTCCAGTTATTTGCATTGAAAATAGTGTTTTGAAATTTGGTCAAAGTCACACTGAAATATGAATTGACAAAGACTAAAACTAAATACATTTCCTCTCTATTTTTATATTATTGTAGTTTGTAAGCAAACAATAAAGTCTCATTTTTAGTTCAGTTCACTAAAGTGTTTTTTCACACAGAGGTTATAGCTTTTAGTTTACTTTTCACTTTTTTACTTCCTTCAGTTCAGTGAGACTGCGAGTGGATCAAATGACAATAGAGGACTTGGCTGGTGTTAATAGCAGCCAGTCGACCAGCTTAATCTCTCCATCCCACATTCTCTCTTGTAAATCAAATTAAACAAGAAGGAATGGCCAGATACGTCACTGTTATCCTGGGTAACAGGACACTGCTCTGGCCTGCAGCCCCTCTGGCCTCTTCTATTCCTAGATCATTAGCTACAAATGGCTTTCCCCTTAATCTTATTCTTTGAACTAAAGCATTGACGTTTAACACGTAATGCATCTCCAGTGACCGTCTCACAAGTCATGAAATTTGTTCACTATTTTAATTTTTGACATCAGGAGACAGGAGCTTTTATGGCCCTGAAAGCTCAGCCATCTAGAGTCACATGCAAACATATTATTTGCATATAATTCATTAATGTGATAATTATATGATAGTTGTAGTTAGAAGGTCCAGCATCTATTATTTGTGTGGATAGCAAAAGATTATATTTATCTTTGGGCTATGTAACTTTTGCCACAGTGACTACAAGCGGCAATTACAGAATAACTTAGGCACATTGAATTTCTCATAATTTCCCACTTTTCATGTCAGTTGCTTTAAAGGCGTCATCATTAGGTGACCTGACTGAGCTAAAATGTTATGTGGCACAAATAGAGAAGAGCCATAAAATCCAGTAAGCTGATCCAGAAAAAAATTATTTAGAGTTAGAGCAATATCTGTAGTTTCTAATGTTAGCTTACATTGTATGTTGTCATTACCCCTTTTAGCAGAACTACATTTTAAAATATCCTGACAAAAATGAGAAAAATATGAGACCTTTCATATATTGGACTGATGCTGTTACAAATTTATACTGGCAGTGATTTTTATATCTATGGTTTTCTCTCCAGTGTCACCATGTCTGATTTAGAAGATCATGGGTGAGTCATTCCAGTCCTGCCAGCTCACCTGTTATTCATCATTTCTAAACTTTTATGGTATAATGTGTATTTTCAATTCTTTTTTTATTTAGAGACCATCAGGAGGGTAAGGAAATTCGTTTATTAATTTATTAAAGCAGCAGTTTCATCTCTTCTCTCACTCAAGTGCTCTGTCAATCTTTCTTTCTCCAGAAGAAGATGAGGAGCAGGGAGAGGGAGGTGAGACAGTGTGTTGATTTTATTGGCCTTTCCTTAAAACATTCAGATACACACTATGACAGTAACCTGTCAGAAAAAGAACCCCTTCAGGACAGCTTTCAAAATGTAAATACTGATTTACATTTTGGTATTCGTCCCATTTACATGTAGTTTTTAGCTGTTTTGCCAGTCAATCACCGGTAGCACAGTAAAAGACAAGAACTTTCAAAATGAGCAGGGAACCTTAAGCCTTAAATTGTCTCTGGACATAGTGTGAGACAGTATGAGAAGCTGTTTATCTTTTGTAAGACCGTAAGCAAGTCATTGGTATGAACAGTGGCAACAATTTAATTTTTATTTATTTATGCCTTTTGCCTATTAGAGTTAACATGCATTATTTTTTTCTGGTGTGTTTTCAAATGTAACTGTCAAAAAATGACGTGACTCACTTTTTCATCGCTGCTCTGGCTGTCGTGTTGAAGAAGAACGCCCCAAATACAAGTAAGCCTACATGGGAATACTCAACACCAAAGAATATCGTCCGATTTTACCACTAAATGTGTTGCACTTAAGTAAAAATAATCTTATCTTATCGTGTTATTTTACAGGCCAGTGGTCACGCAGCTCGCTGCCCCCAAAATCCCAGAGGGGGAGAGGGTTGACTTTGATGTATGTTCCTTCAAGATTATTGTTAATGGAACAATTGCATGATTACAGCATCAAATAATCTTCATCTGTGTATCCACTGGTCCCTATAAGGATATCCACAGGAAAAGGATGGAGAAAGACCTCCTGGAGCTACAGACTCTGATTGATGTCCACTTTGAGCAGAGGAAGAAGGAGGAAGAGGAGCTGATAGGACTCAAAGACAGGATTGTACTGACTTTCCCATGCTGTTTTCTCCATTTATTTGTCTGAAAGAGAGATTTGTCAGGATACACTGACTGTTCAGAATAATAGTGATGAAAAAGCCATGTGTGAAAGTCCAGCTGGCGTGGTTTTTCTGTTATAGGAGAGCCGCCGGGCAGAAAGAGCTGAGCAGCAGCGTGTGAGGGCTGAAAAAGAGCGAGACAGGCAGACACGGATTGCGGTGATTAATGCTTAACATTGTATTACACATGTTGTTTAATCCATACATGCCAATAATCCGCTCACATCACCCTATTTTGACCCTCCACACTATAAAAGAGAAATTTAAGTAGCAGTAATCAGCTGAAGATGACTCCCACAGGAGGAGAGACAGAGGAAAGAGGATGAAGAGGCCAAGAAGAGGGCGGAGGATGAGGCCAAGAAGAAGAAAGTGCTCTCCAACATGGGGGCTCACTTTGGAGGGTTCCTGGCCAAGGTCAGAATAATACATTTGTAGGCAGGTGTGTCACTATATACCGCAAGTATGTGGAGCGCATATTCTAATTCTAGTTCCTTCTGAAAGTCCATGCGTCTGAAGGGGAGTTGTGTTTGTTTCCTACAGGTAGAGCAGAGGCGAGGCAAAAGGCAAACTGCGAGGGAAATCAAGAAGAAGACTCTAGCAGAGAGACACAAGCCACTGGCTATAGAGAACCTGAGAGAGGATGGCCTGAGGTCAGTTTAAAGTCCATTAAAGAATGAGAATGAATTGAGTTGTTGTCAGTCGATTTGGATTCATTTACAAAAATGTGCATTACATTAGTTGTAGGAATGCCAGCTAGGTAGTCCAGGCCATTTTAATCTGTAGCCAGTGACCTTTTATTAAGATTTTAGAATCTGTGTGTGTTTAACATTGTTGTGTTTTAGAGAGAGAGCCAAGGAGATGTGGGAATGTGTCTACCAGCTGGAGTCAGAGAAATTCGATCTGACTGAGAAGATGAGGAGGCAGAAGTATGAGGTTAGCCGTTCAACTGAGAAGATACGGAATTTAAAAAATGGATCATTTGTGAGGTCAGATTGTATGTTTTTTTTCCTTTCAGATCAACGTCCTCCTGAACCGAATCCAACATGCTCAGAAATTGTGAGTCATCTGATTTTTGTCCCCAACTACCATTAAACAGCAATCACACACCAAGATAGAAAAAGTAGAGCACTGTAGAGAGCTACTTTGCATATGAATATGCAAATACAGGATATGGAAAGAAGAAAACAGGAAATGGCACTCACAGCTCTGAAACCATTGCCACTTTATGCACAGGGTGCACACATCTAAGATGTTAACATAAACTGATAAGGCCGATCTCTAACACTTGCTGGGCGTTTCTGTGTGGACTACAATTGATCATAATCTACTTTACTATTGTTTTCTTGTCTCAATGCAGCAAAAAGGTCCATGGTAAGGGGAAGGTTGGAGGACGCTGGAAGTGAACTCACACAGGAGGCACAAAGAAACAAGAAGACAGTCCACGATTGCAGCAGTTTTGCAGTGTTCATCACTTAAGAGAGATATAAGAGATCTATGTGTGGCAATTATTGAAATACAACCACTTGCACTGGCATCTGTATTTATTAAAATGCATGTATACATACAATTTTCTATCAGAATCATTCAAAATGGAAATCTGATTATTCTCCTGGAAAATTCAAACAGCTACTACAAACAAAAATGAACTACTATCTATCTTTATGAAGAAAAATAAATTCTGTCTGCATAAGAGCTGATGAAATGTGCTCTGATGCAATGTCATCTTGACTATCAGTTGCGTATTGTGAAGGTGAAGCGGCTGACAATGGTGAGCAGAGTAAACTGCTCTGATGACATTAACATTACCATTAACCACCTTCACTTCCTCCGTGGTATAAAAACAGCGTGGACGTCATCAATCTTCCCCTCAAGCCACGGTTCAAATTCGGCCACGAGAGCGATGCTCACCACTTCCTTTGCAAAGCCTGCTTCTTGCACTTTGCTCAGATCCAAAATGTACCTGAGATACACAGTGACACACAAAAACAACTTCAATGGACAGACCACAGCTACAATTATTATTAAATGTGAACAGTGAACTTAAATATAGGATATGTAACAGACGGGAAACATCAGACACACACAAGCAAATACTCTGCACCTGTGCATTTCATAGTCACTGTACTCTTGGTGACTGTACTGTCACCATGGTAACAAGCCCTGTTACTATAAAAACCCTCACTTGGCCAACTCCACGACGAGCACAGCGTCTGGTGCTGCAATCTGTCTCATTGTTGGGCCCAACTGGTGCACGCAGCTTTACAGCATTGACAGAGAGGGAACAGAAACACGGGAATTAAACACGATCAGCAGTCATGTCAGTATTCTGCTGTCCACTATATTTATATATATCTATTAAAATGAATTATTTACTAAGAGAAATGATCTTTGTAGTAATCAGAGGAAAAGCTTTCACCTGGCAGAGAAGTAGAGTGAGTTGAAGAAGTGTGAATATTTCTGTTTTTGTGGCAGTTTGTGGAGTGAATCCATAGGCAGGAAGGTCACAGAGATCCCATTGAGACGCATCAAGTCTGAAGAGGATTTGAGAAAATGCAGTACTGAAACCATCTTTCAAACACAATTACCTTTTTCTGTGTGCTAAACATCAAAACAGGCTTCAGAGGGATGGGAAGTGAACTGTCATACACATACTTTAATGTATTTAAACATGTAAATTAAAACAAACTGAAACATTACAACATGCTACGTAGCTGAATTCCATTTTTCACCTCAGTCTGAACGTTTTGCACTGTGGGTTAAATGGCTTTTGTCATTGTGTGAGCTGCTTTTCCTGTTCTTATCGTCTGGAGCCAGAGGCCTGCTATTGGTTAACTGCCATTTACCACTGATGGTGACAGATTTTCGGTCACTCTGTGGCGATGGCTCCTCTGCTTCTGCGTCTGACTGAGAAGTAGTGGGGCAGCCCCGTCTACTGGACAGAGACTGGAACAATGCCTGTACATTAGCAATGGAGATATCCTGGGCTGTCTGTGGATGTGAGGAAAGGAAGGGACGACAAAAAAAAGACAATTACATGTTCCTCAGTATATATATATATATGAAGAAATGGAGATTTAACTATAATCTAACATGTAATCCGTGATATTACTACTGTATATTTTACCTTGATGTATTTCCCATTCTGTGTCTTCAGCATGCTCTTGTCTTCAGTTTCAATGCCAAAGGCGAGGTAGGGACTGGAAACAATGTCTCCCCAGTAGCCCCGGACAGCCACTCTGTCCCCTTTCTATCGGGAAACACGCGATGATAAGTTCCTTCCCACCGTCTTATTCTGCATTGCTTAGAAACATTGTTTAGAAACACTTACCTGATTGAACACTCGTGAAGAGAGCAAACTTGGATTGGGTATTTGGTAGATGCCTTCTCTCATTTCGAACGCCAAACCTCGTTCCCTCCATCGCACATATTGCTGTTTGTTGATGGCACCACACTGCAGGTAGAGAGTGAGTACAGAGAGAGTGTCCATCCTTCAGTGCAACATATAAAGCTCTAGTTCCTGTGGGTAACTTTGTGTAGCACATTTTAACGCACATAAGTACACCAAATATTCAAATACCCCTTTCTCGTGCAGTTTCATTGTAAGGTCCCAGTCGAAGCTGCCCCCCTTGGAGTTGTAGCGTGTTCCAAGGTGCTGCCTGACCCGATAATCCCAGGCCTTCGACATTAAGATAGATGATGAAGTCTGAGGCTGGATCCACAACTTCAATATCCTGGCCAGCTCATCTCGCTCCTTAAACTGTAGAAATATTAATAGACTTTTACTGAATTTGCGCCCACACAGTTTCATTTTGTCTGTATTGTATAAATTACTGTATAATACATGTAGTTTCACATGGGTTTGACTGAGCAGGCCTCAGAAAAAGCTCAATCATAAGGTCCTAAAGGTCCAGTGTGTAACATTTAGGAGGATCTATGAGCAGAAATGGTATATGATATGCATAACTATGTTTTGATTAGTGCATAATCACCTGAATACAGGAATCCTTATGTTTTTGTTACCTAAAAACAAGTATTTCTTATCGACAGGCGCCGTGTATCGCATTACATGGGGTCCACCATGTTGAACCGCCATATTTCTACAGTAGTTTATTGCCGACACCGTAATTTGTCCTTCACGTAAGGGGAGGGTGAAGCGAGGGGGTTGTAATCTGCAGCTACACTGCGAGACGCCACTAAATCCTACATACTGGACCTTTAAAGAAACGTCTTGTTTAACAAATAATTGTACCTTGAGAAGAGTTGTGTTCAGACAGGTGTGTGTGGCTGTCTCCAGTGTTTCAGTAACAGACAGAGAGAGCTGTGACGCTGCATGTCTCAGTATCTCTTCTGTCTGACTGCGGATCTCACTGTTCCCAAACACCTCCAGGAATACCTCCGTCTTCTCTGAAAATAAAAAAAAACATATAGCAAAATATCTCCTAGCACATCTAGCTCCATAATAGCTTTACTGAACTAAATGTATAAAGTTAATAATATCACAAAATCCTACTTACCATTATTTCCCATGCTTTCTTGGGGCATCAGTGCCAAATAGAGGAGCAGAAGCTGTCTAGCCACCTCCTCCATGCTGCTTTCTATCACCCACACCTGCAGTGGAGCAGAGAGAAGAAGATTCAGTTCGCAGTAGAGCATAACAATTTGTTTTCAGGGGTCACACAACAGTTTAAGAGACCATGGCTCACATGTAGGCTATTCTCGTTCTGCAAACCAGCAATGGTCTTCAAAATATGTCGTGGGTCTCCACTGCCAACCAGCAACACGTTGACCTCCCCTTCAAGTGTCACAGGGCCTAGGCACAGACAGAGATAGCATACATTAGGTATATAGTTAGAACAACTGAAATGTCTCATAGCACAGTGTCAAAAGTTGGCACTGAATGTACGGTCAGATTTATACTCTGGTTAACTTATTGTTTATTCAGATATTTGATTATTTGGTTTCAAATGGTATCCTCCTGTGCTATTTAGATAGGATGGACTTTATTATTCAGTGCAATAAGCCTGCAGCAGATACCAACAGGACATTTGTATGGACTGCCAATGTTGTTGATTTAACTAGGCAGTAATAGCGGAGTCTGAGGCCATGATTTGGTTAAACAAATAGATTGAATAGGCAGCATAAAGAAGAGTACATGAGTAAAAATGTACTCGGTTACTTCACCAACACCGCACACAACCAGGATGCTGTGGCGCACGTGTGCAGGAGCGAGGCTCTCACCTGTGCTCAGCAGGTCTCGCGCGGGACTGAAGCCCCACCAGGTGAAGCAGCCCGCGCCCTCGGAGGCCCGTCCAGCACTCATCCTGCAAAGAAAGACAAACAAACACCTGACCGTTCACATCAAGACTCAACCGGTAAGGGGTTAACTAGCTACGGCTAATTAACGGTCTCTGTGCTCAATATGGTGATAAACATGGTCATAAGCTGCCACCAGATACTATCACACAGTGTAACACAGCGATAAAGAGAAAAACTCACCTCAGCTATGACAACGGAGTGAAGTTTGCAGCTGGTCTGAACGGTAAGTTTGAGTTCTGTTGCTAGGCAACAGTGTCTGAATGGGGAAGACGAGCGCCATCTACCAGCGATAAGGCCTCACTGCAGTCCTCTCTTTCTAGATCTGAAGGCCAATAGATTATAATGCTGAAAGACGGTTGTGTAATTGTATCATCCAGAATATACTTCTCTCTGTAGTAGCATTCTACAGTAATTGTAGACTACAGCTTTTATTTAATTGTCACAGTTAAACAATACATTGAATTCTAATTTAATAAAAGGCAAGAGAGTAAGAGACGCATTGTGAAACTGTCAGTTGTGGGTTTATTTGCATTTGAAAAGATCCAGGGCATTACAACAGGCATTTTTAAGCAATCTGTTGCACAACAGCACTGCAAAATGAGCAAAAAGGCCCAGTGTACATTTCTTGAAATGTAAAAGCTCTACTATGTCTTCAGAGTCAACTAACATTTCAGAGCACAGTAATTCTCATATACTTCATTTATGCATCTACATTTTTACTAGGCCCATGAATGAGCATATACACAAAATATGCACATTTACAGATAAGTGTTTTCCAACACAAGCACAGAGTCAAATTGGTTTACAGTATAAGATAAATCAGGGAAGCAGGGGTTTAATAACAACCAAATATCAAAAATGGTCTTTACATTGCACACATACTCACACACACACACACACAAACATGCACACATTACATTATCTCAAAATAAACAAAATGGAATACAGAAAATGCTAAATGAGAAAACATCAGGATTAACAATAAGTAACACATCAGTAGTAATTGATACTCGAACAAGGTGCGACTCTAACGAGGTTTTGCTTTGAGCGCTGCATCGACTTCCTCTTCTGGCAGGAGCGTGTGCCACTGGGCTACTGGACGTCTGGGATTGGCAAGCATATCTGACCAGTGGCGCAGGCCGACTCCTGTAGCTCCGTAACCCATGAAGGTCTTTCCAATGGGGTCATTGCTCCCAAGTTTATCGTAGTCGAACACTGTGAGGACGACCTGCACTTTCTGAAAGACGAAAGATAGATGTGTTATCAAATCATCCCCCACCCCCACACATCAACACTGTCTGTTACATTTCAAATTGATTTGATGGAGACACAGCCTACCTGTATCTGCTCAAAGGGGACTTCAAAGCTGAAGCTCTCATTAAAGTAAGGGTTGAGCGTGTTTTTCTTGACTGTCGTCTTCTTCTTTTTAATCCGTTTCCCATTTTGCTGCAGAACAATCTTCACATACGGATCTTTTGAAAGAGGAAAAGAGGGTGTTAGTTTTTGTTTTGTTTTTTACTTCCTCATGACACTGAAGTTTGTTGAGATAAATATAAATATCTGACAGAATGATAATAAGTGGCAGGAGGCTTAATTACCTGACAAGCCACCAACATCCATTTTCTTCAGGTTCTTTGCCTCCATGATGTTCACGGTCAGTTTTCCAGCAGTGGGAACATACCGTAAAGAAATGCAAATATCGCCCAGTTTTTCTTGCTGAAAGGAAAATATTCTAGATTACCACCAAGTCCCATCAAATTCAACACATCTTTTATAAAAAATGATTCATACTGATTTCTAATATATTTAAATATATAAACATTTAAAAATGTATATTTTAAATATTGCTTTTGAGTGCAAATATTTATCTTCCACAATATATCATACCTCCTCCTTCTCACCACTCTCCAAGTCTCTCCATTGTTGCATTGGCTGTCCCAAATCAACACTGTTCATGGGGATCTTTATCTCACCAATCATATCATGCTTGGAGAAACGATCAAAGTCAAAAACTTGCAGCACCAAAGTCTTTCCGCCTAACTCTGCATAGGGGATCTAGAAAGAGAAGTTATTACTACATTAGGATGTACAATAGGGGAAGGTAATCAGTAGGCAATTATGTTTACATGTAACAAAATGTACAAATTCACAATAACTAAGAACAATTAAAAACATACTGCATTGTTTTCTGGGGGGAGGGATACCATGACAGACACCATTCAAGGAATGAAAGACTAAAGACGAGGGGAAGTAGAGACAGGCCAAACTTCTGCCTCATGAGGGCAAAAAGTGATACGTCATCAACAACCTGGAACACCAACACAAGCTGGGACAATAGAAAGAACAACAATTAACTCGATGACGACGCTTGGTACCTTAAAGATGAAAGTTTCGTTGAAAACAGGACATAAATTCTTGCGTTGGACTTTGGTCTCATACTTCTTCTTTTTGTCTGGCAACAAAAAGACTTTGACATAGGGGTCTGAGGTTCCCCCCATGTCCATAGCAGCAAGGTCCTGAGCCTGAAGGATACCCACTATAAGCTTCAGAGGAAAGAGAACAAGTGTCAGAGTGACCAGTGAAAGGCTTGAGTCCTTATTGGCTTTGATGAAACTAATAATGATTTTGTTTTCACACAGGACCTACCTGGGAATCTGTGAAGTTGTAGTCCAACGAGAACTCCAGCTTACCCACATTTTCCTGTTCTTTCTCCTCTTCCTCCCCTTCCTTCTTTACTTCCCCCTCCTGCAAGATAACAACATCAGTGCATTGGATATTCACCATGAAGAAGACCATCAGGTAAGATTATACAATAATGGGTTTCTGGAAATCATATACCTTATCCCCAGCCTCTCCGTCACCTTCCTTTTCCTTTCTGCGGCGACCTGTCTTCCTCTCCCTCACTTTCTTTGGCTTTTTCTTTTTCCCAAAGCATTTTTTGAAGACACAGAAGATGCAGCAGGCCACCAAAACCAGGACCACCACAACAATGGCCGCTACTGCCCACATGGGAACTGCAAAATAAAAAGAGGTAAGAAAGTTCAAGTTTAATTCTCACATATAATCATACATACACCAGATATATATATACATAGTATTACTCAGTAGTATTGATCATACGCAGAATGATAGAAGTATGCTTACTATGGTAGAAAGGAGTGGATGTCTAATCCCTTGATGTCCTTTACATTCATGATAACGCTCAAACAACAACCACAAAAACCTCAACAAACCGACCAAAAAACGTCTGTTTGAACCTTATCTTTAAGTAGACATCCTCGATTTAAAACACTACCCTCTCAATCAGAGGCTTTGTATAAGCTTGTTGGTCTTACACATCAGGATTTTCAAGAGGATTTAAATCTTGAGATTACATCAAAGAAAACTAAATCCAATATCATAAGTCAGTTTACTCCCATTATCTAAACCACATCCAACAATATCTTTTCCAAAGGTTGGACACAGAACCAAGGGTGTAATATGTTATGTCATCAAAATAAAATATGATTGATATAAAATGTGATGCTTCCTACAACAGAAGATTGGAGGATTCCTTTGAGCATTTCTATCTTGACGTGCTGTTTTAAGCTCATGTTTATCTAGCAACAGTTTGATGACCATGCATGTGTGTTGTCACCAACACCCTTTACCGCAATCTGATAATAACACACTCCCAATTGGGAGTGGCCCTGTTCTACCGCCACAGTCCCTAGCAGTGCAATTCATCATTAAGCGCTCTACTCACAGCTCCTCAGCAGGAGCTGCTAACTGAAGGGAAAACAATTCTCATGCAGTTTTTTCTCTAAGATTCTTATTGGCACGAACGTAGGAAAAAGCTGGTATAATGACACAAAAAAACAAGCTCATATTCTCATATAATAATTCTTTGTACTGTGTCAAATATCTTAAAAGTACTCAATATTTCTGCAACTAAATTAGGTTATGAATTTCTATTGATCACGCTCCCGCATATTCTAGAAGTGGCTTACTTGGCAGATGACCAAGCTCATTCATAAACTTCTCCTTCATGTGGTTGTAGTCGTGGCTGGGGTGATGTTCTGAATGGGGGTGCTCATGGTGTTCTGTGTGTGAGTGCTCATGGTGAACTGGCTCTGTTGCTTCCTCTGGCTCTGGTTCAGACGACTCCGCAGCCCTCCGGGCCCGGACCCCGGCGCCGACCAACCTCATGGCACCTGTTAAAACATGAGAACCAGTGCAGTTATTTACGCGGTGTTAGTTTGTTATGCTCTCCGTCATGCTGGCCCCTGCAGTGAGAGATAACACAACTTCGTATGTACGCTGTGTAATCCCTATGTCCATGCGTTGCAGTACAGTTCAGGAGCAGAGGACATCTCTAAGCCAGATGCTCAACATGGCTGACCCTAATCTCTCTGTTACTCTCATTCTCTCTGTCTTCTCCTCCCGCCCCATAACCCACGCTTTCACTCCCCCGTTTGTCCCATCCCCATTTTTCTCGTCACTGTCTATGCACGTAACTGGATTTAATGCTGGCACTACAATATTAATCCAAAATCCCAGATCCTCAAAGCTTAAATATATTCGGGGGTTGGTTTCCTCCCTCAATTTTCCTCCATTGGAGAGTTTTCTGGAATGACGACTGTTTATTAAAGTGTTTCCGAGGACGTCCAGGGGACTATGGCCAAGATTTAGGGGAAACCCTGATCTTACTATTTTGAATAAGACAAAAATAAAAATTTTTATGATTTAATGTATGAAAAGCAAAAAATGTTTTGTTGGAATCACAGAAATTTCTTAAATGTAGAGTCAAATTTTACTAGTTGCAGCTGCTTTTTAATAGTAAATGCTGAATGAAAATAAAACATTGGCATCTATTCACAGT